GAAAACATTTATTGAGGGTGTGCCTCAATGGTGGAGAACTTGCTGAGTGTGCACACAGCCCTGGGTTGGATCCCCAGTGCTGCAAAAATAATAATAATAAGATAAAAATACTTACAGCCTTGATTCTATTTTACAATTACCATCTTACTATTTTTTCTGTTCTACCTTTTTTTGTTTAGTTTCCGTTATCCTTCCCTAATCTTGGAGTAATCAAGAAGCACCTTTTATTGTTCCACTCCCCCTTGGTTTGTCGCCTACACTGTCGATTGTTCGGTGGTTGCTTTAATATCATAGCAGCGTCTCCGACCCATTCCAGGCCCTGCAAGTGGGTGCTCATGTCATGCTGGAGACAATGTGGACTCTGATGATTTCAGCTCCACCCACACTGGCTTTCCTGCTGTTGTCATGCATTTTAACCATGCAATGTTCAAACCCCGGAAGACATTATTATAGCTTTTGTGAGCCAAGTTTCATTTCAATTTAACCCAAATTTACTCTCCATTCCTTCCTGTACATTCACATTTCCATCCGGGATTGTTTACCCTCTGCCTGGAAACTCCCCATCCTTTCTGTTACTGTGGGGCTATGAGGAACATTCATTTGTCCAGCTGTTTTTATTCTACCTTCATCTTTTTTTTTTTTTTTTTGGTACTGGGGATTGAACTCGGGTCCTTGCACTTGCACAGCAGGCAGCGAAACCACTGAGCTAAATCCCCGGCCCTATTTTACCTTCATTTTAAAGAACACCATCCCTGCCTGTGGAATCTCAGGCTGGCCATTCCCTGTGGCATCTGAACGTGTCTTTCCCCTCATACCCACCTTCCACCATTCCTACTAAGAAGTGAGCCTCAGGAATTGCTGTCACCCTGAAGGAGTCCATGCCTGAAGGCCCTGCACTTGGGGTGTGGGGTCTCTGTGAGTAACCCATGAGGTGGCCTCAGAGAGGGTAGGCAGGGACAGGAGGGTCTCTGAGTGAGACACGGGTGTGCGACCAGAGCTGGTGACAGGAAGGCTAATGGTGGCCTCAGTGCAGTCCTCATGTGATGCCTGGCCTATTCCAGGCAGCAGCAGCTGCACAGTCTCCCATGACAGGACCTGGGGCACCTGGTGACCACTAGCAGTGGGAGGACAGAAGCTGGTGTGCAGTCCCTGGGGCTGACCTGGAGGTGACAGCAGGATGTGGGGCACTGCCCTTCTCTCCAGAATAAGATGTGTTTCCAAATGCTGCTTAGATACTTATACACCATTGAGCCATACATTAAATGCCAGTAGAGGGGCTGAGGATTTACCTCATTGGTTCCACTGCCTGCCTCGAAAGCACCAGGTCCCAAGTTCAATCCCTGGTACCAAAAAAATAAATAAATAAATACCAGTAGAATTCTTCACTTTGATTTCATAGATTAAACAACAAAAGATACCTAGTAACAGCGCCTTCCAAAGTTCCAGGGCACTGGCCCTGTCTCTCAAGTGCCCTGGGAGCCCGAGGCTGCTCACCGTGTCCTGTGACCTGGCTGAGTATGGTCCCTGCTCTGGTCTGGCTCATGTGGGCACCAGGTCTCATGGCCCCTGCCAGCCTCCCAGGCCACACATAGATGAGCTCCAACCCCAGGGTGAGGTGGGCTGGTCACACGGGGCCACCACTGAAGCAGACATGGGCTCGGCCTGTCCTCCCCCTGGCCCCGCAGTGGCTGCCCCACTTGGGGTGTTAGCACCACCTTCCCCACCTTGCAGACAGGGGCACTGAGCTCAGGTCAGAAAGTCACTAGGGTTACATAGCTGGAGGCGGCCTTGAGGCTGGACAGCTGGCACCTGTTGTCCTTCCTCCTTCCTGTCTTGTCCTAGTGACTGGTGCACTTCCCCCGTCCTACTTACAGATCTTCCTGCCCACCTGTGACAGTTCTTACAAATGCACCTCGGTCCCTAAAGGGGCTGTGGTCCAGATGCACCCACTGGGAGAGAAGCACATCCAGAGCCAAAAGTGCCCTGAACCTGCCCAGACCACCACACACCCAGCCCTGTGCAGCACGTGCGAAGCCCAACATCTGCAGTCAGGGCCACCCAGAGCTCAGCGCATCTGCTGACCTGGGGGAGAGTCAGTCTCGGTTTCTGCACCACCGTAACCAAAGCCCCCAAGAGGAAGCACCATGTGTCAGGACCGCATGAATCTTAGAGCCTTTGAGTCGAGATGGCCCCAGAGACCCCTATGTTAACTGCTTGGCCCCACAGGGCAACGGGGACCCTTTAGGAGACAGGGCTTAGTGAGAGGTCCTTATGTTCCTGGGGATGTGCCCTGTGCCCTGGGAAGGGACAGTGGGTCCTGGCCCACCCTTTCTCTCTTCCTTCCCAGCCATGAAGTGAGTGGTTTTCCTCTGCCAGGCTGCTGTTGTCACTTTCTAGTCACTGGGACACAACACCCAACACCTGTGACCTAAAGGAAGAGAGCTTTATTTTGGCTCATGGTTTTGAAGTCTCATGGCTGGCTCGCTCCAGGCAGAAAGACATGGTGGAAGGACCTGGAGGAGGAGAGCTGCTCACCTCATGCGACCAGGAAGCAGCAAGGGGAGGGAGGGAGATGCATCTTTCCCGGCCATGCCCCAGTGACTGCCCCATCTTACCAGGCCCCACCCCCAACAGCACATTTAGCTACAGGTCCCACCGCCTAGTCCTCCTCCAAAGGCCCCACCTCTGAATACAGGAGGCTTTCAGGGTACATCTAGATGTCAACCATAACACAGGGGTTCCTACCACCAGGCACAGCCTCAGCACAGGGATAAAAGCAACGGGGCCAACTCATCATGGACTACAACTCCTGCCTGAGAGCCAAGGTAAACCTTCTCTCTTTATAAGTTACTGCTCTCAGGCATTTGCTACAGCAGCAGAAAGCTGACTAACACATCCAATCCCATATATTGGTCTCCCATTGTCTCTTCTCCTCTTACTCTTCCTACCGTATCATCCTGTCTCCTGTTTTATTCCTCCCACTCCTGCCACAGTTCTTCCTGTTTCTCTACTGTGATTTTTCTTGTCACCATTCTTGACATCACCTTTACCATTATTTCTCCTTTTCCTATTTCCACTTTTACCACTTCTAGTGAATGTTTTCTCCTGACTCCTCCTGTTACCTTTGCTTTACTTCTCCTCCTGCCATCAATACTACTTCCTATTACTTCTCCTGTCATCAATAGTACTTCCTGTTACTTCTCCTATAATCAATACTACTTCCTATTACTCCTACTCCCTTTCCCCTTTCACTCACTGCCCCCCCCAAGTATCTAAAATATAGTAGACCCTTGACTTATGAACTCAGTCAGTTCTTGAGGAAGGTTTGGTTGTAAATCAATGCAACTGAGATTTGGATGTTTACCGGGGTGCATATTATAGATAACAAGAGGCAGATGAATCTTCCATTAACCTAATTAACCCAAGTTATTCGTATGTCAGGCTAGTCATAACTTGAAGGTCCACTGCACCAGTGAAAGCCAGGAGTGGTAGCACACACCTGTAATCCTAGAATTTGGGAGGCTGAGGCAGGAGGATTGCTGTGAGTTTGAGGCTAGACTGGGCTACATAGTGAGTTCAAGGCCAGCCTGAACTACATAGCAAGACCCTGTCTTAAAAACTAAGTAAAACAAAATATAAAATGGCAAATCCTCTCCCATGACAAGTGAAGACTGCCACCCTGGAATGTTTGCAGCTCATGACTACTTTGCCCCATAGAGGAGGCCAGAAACAATGATGCAAGCTGACTTCCGAGGCCGAGCCATACAAGGAATGAGGCTCTCAGCCCATGCTGCAGGAGCCTGAGCCCCATGGAGGAGGCTGAATTGTCTCCCAGCTGCCATGTTGTGAGGAAGCCCAGGCTATGTGTGGATGCCAAGGGAAGGGCTCAGGAAGACAGGTGCCAGGGCTCCAGGCCTTGGCCACTGCACTCTCCCATCCCACACTTGAGTCCTCCAGCGGAGGCCTCAGGCACTGAGGAGCTGGGACAGCCTCTCTGCACCCAGGCTTAGTGTGTAGCTCTCACCCTGTGTGCATCCGCTCTCCTGTCCTGGAGGCTCGAGGGCCCCACTGTGCTCTGCCCTGGCCCCTCAGGGGGTTTCCAGTCCTCCCCTGTCCCTTCAGGCAGCAGTGCCAGGCCTGACACCGTGGGTATCCTTCCGTGGGTCATCAGTCTGGATGCAGGCAGCACGATCTGCAGTTCTGCTGCCCGGGGACACTGGCTTCCGTGTCAGAACTCCTGGCCATTAAGACAAGCTCTGGAGTCAGCACTCTGTGGGCCATGGCACCAGGCCCTCCCTCACCCGGCCTGGGCCTGTGCCTCCTGCTTTGTGGTTCATGATTCAGGGTCAATACAGGGCAGGGACAGAACCAAGAGGGTCTTGGGAGTGCTAAGGAAGTGCTAAGTGTGGGCTGTGTGAGCAGTGCTGTCTAGGGTGCCTTGGAGACAAGCCGATCTGGAAATCCAACACCAGTTCTGCCCCTGGTTGTGTGTGCTTGGGCAAAGCTTGTCCTCTTGGCCCCAGTCACTGCATCTGTTCAATGGGCTCATTACTCACCAAGAGCTCTGCTTTGCAGAGGAGAGTCGGAAGCTTCCAGGACACAAGGCTGACACCAAGCACCCAGGGGCCAGGTCAAGGTCACTGATGTCCCCTCTGGTGGTCACCCTGCAAGTGGCCTGCCTGCCCAGAGGTGGGCCTACCCAGGCTGTGGCCCTCATTAAGGACCACATGTCTTTTATGTGTCTGTCTTAAGGCACTGGGGATGGAAACCAGGGCAGTCTCCAAGGGAGGTGGGCAGTGCTCAGTCCCTGAGCTACATCCCAGCCAGACGCTTCTTAGGGCTATAGCAAAATACGCTTGTTTAAAGATGTTAACCTTTCCTGGGGATGAGGCACATAATCAAAAATTTCAAGAGCTACAAAAAGATTCTGTGGGAAGTGAGCGAGTCCCTGCCCGCGCAGGCTCCTGCCCTGAGGACCAGGACCTCGCGTTGGAGCACCCGCCAGCGCCGGCCCCCACCGGCACAAGCGCTTAACGCGGGGCTCCCTCTGAGTCCCCACGTCCTGAAGCTTCAGATCGCTCCCCTGCTGGGGTGCCGTCCCTGGCCCGGCCCTGCTGCGGGGAGGGGGCTCGGCCCCGCGGCCCTCCTGCCTCTGCGGCCCATTCATCTTCTGCTCGTCCCTCCCCGGCCGCGCATCGCGTTCCCGCAGCCGCGTCCGCGCGCTCATTCACCGCCTGCTTCGGCGCGGCGGGCGGGCGGTGGGCGGACCTGGCCGTCCCCGCCCCATCCTCGTCCCGGCTCCGTCCCCGTCCAGGTCCCGTCCCCAGCCCCAGCTCCGTCCCCTGCGCCCCGCGCCCGGCTCCGTCCCCTGCGAGCTGGGACTGGGACCGGGAATGCGGGGCTGGCGGCGCAACCTCGCGTTCTGCCTGCAGCGGCTGCCGGACGAAGGTAGGAACAGGGGATAGGGCATGCTGTGATCCCGGCGGGGGAATTGGGGGTTCGGGGGTCCCCGGGGAGGGGGATGGGGACGCACAGCTCGAGGATGCCGAGGCGCGCGGGGCGGGAAGGGGTGGGGATTGAGCGCTCAGGACCCGGGACGGCTACACCCTGGACCCCGAGCCCTCCACCCAGCCTGCACCGAACCCGGGGTGCCCGCACCCAACTTTCCCACCCACGCCCCTCGCCGGTCCTGCCGCAGCGCTGTCCCTGTCTCTGTCCTGTGTAGCCGGCTGGTACTACAGCGGAGCCTCTCGCTGTTCTTGCACCCTGGGGACCCATGGGCCATCCAGGGTGCCAGGCCGGAGCTCAGCCTCTGCCTTTAACCTTCACATCCACGCGCCAGCATCCTCTCCACTTTTCAGAGGAGGACCTGCTCAGAGAGGCTGAGCCCCTTTCCCAAGGTCACACAGCCTGCAGGTGGACAGCTGGGATGGAAGGAACCTGAGTGACCTCAAAGCGCTCAGTGCTCTGTGTCCCTCCCTCCAGGTCCCCCAGGCTGTGTCTCCGGTCTAATGAGAAAGGATCCCATTCCAGCCCAACCCAGTGTATGGGGAGGGGACTGGGGAGGGGCTGGTGCCACCTCCTGGGGCTGAGTGGGGGGGGCGGGGGGGCGGGGCTGTCCTGAGGGTGCCCCAGACCCTGGTGGGGCAAGGGGCAGCCCTTGCTCCCCTGTTGGCTGCCTGGTGCTCCCAGGGTTTGAGTTGGGGCCTGGAGAGACGTCTGGCCTAGGGATCCCTTCAGAGCCAGGCCTGGCCAATACCCTTCCCCACCCCGGGCCTGAGTGTGACCCTCCAGGAAACCAGGCACTTCTGCACTGGCCACGCTCTCTACCTTCCAAGGCTCCAGGAAGGAAGTGGTGAGGCCTTGGCAACAGTGTCACGCAGGGCACTCCCCCCATACTGCGTGAGTGTGTGCGTAAGTGTGCATGTGTGTGTGTGTGATGGGTCACGTGCATGTGCCAAGGCCTGTGAGGTAGGTGCGGGAGGCGTGTGTGTAGGGGCACGTGGGTGGTGTGTTCAGTGTGCACATAGGGCTGCATGAGGTCCATGTGGGACATGGATGAGGCCAGGGGTCTTATGACAGCCACAGTTGCTTTGTCCATCCCCAGCCACATCTTGCTGCCAGGAGGCGCTCTGAGTTTGAGTTTTTCTTGGAAAATCTGAGTTGGGATTGCTCCTTGAGCCCAGCACTAAATCAGAAAGGGCTGGCACATCCACCCACACTGGCAGGAAATTACTGGTTGAAAAGACAAAACCTCCACTTTCTCTGGGCCACAGGGAAATCAGTTCCCTGGGCTGGGTCTTGTGGGAGCATCTCTGAGATGGAGTCCAGGTGGCGCCCCAAACTCGACCATGAATGGCTAGAGACCAGGCTCCCGTGCACCCCAGCCCCTCGGTGCCCACCAGGTGGCCTTGGACCATGAAGCTGGAGCACTGCCCTCAGGTCTGTGCTGAGGTCCTGGGCAGCCAGTGCACAGTGGGTGCTCATCGAGTCCAACTCCCCTCCTGCTCTTGGCCGTTAGATCTGCTTTATTCAGATTTGGGGGGCTCAGGGCCAGGCCAGTTCCCAGGTTGTGCTGCCACAGACACACCCAGACCAGTGCAGACCACTCCACAGTGTCCAGAGCCTGGAGTAGTAGGTGGGTCCCCCAAGGACAGATGCCTGGGGCTATGGGGCCCTGGGGTCTTGTTTCATGGTGATTGGGGGGTGGGTGTGACCACACGACTGTGCTCTGGGGAAGCTTGGCCTTTGTGTTCCTGCGGAGAGTGGGTGTGTTCTTCTGCTCATTGCAGCACACGCTTCATGGGGATCCCCCACCCCAGAATCTGGTTGGTGTCTATGGGCAGCAGAAAGGTGAACTCCAGCCTTTAGGCCACACTGCTCCCAGGCCCACGGATAGCAAGAGTTCAGGGTGCCCAGGGCTGGGGAACACAGGGTTGGGAGTGGTGAGATTCCTACAGGGGGCTGCTTGGAGGAGGTGGCACCTGGCCCCCTGGGTGAGGAGCTTGGTTCCCGGCAGAATCTGCTTTCCCCCATCCTGTCCAGCCTGCTGGGCAGTGGACTCCTGGGATGTTAGCCAGTGGGGCTCACAGAAGTCACTGAGTCCCCTCTGAGCAGAAAGACGGCATGCAGAGCAGCAAGGGGGAAAGGACTTTTCATGGATTCAACAGATATTTACTGGATCCTTGGCCAGTTGCTAGGGGTTCAGATGTGGACAAGATGTGGACCCTGTTGGAAGAGTTCATTTTGTGGAGGGGGGAACAAGTAACATGTGTTGGTGAGAAGTGCCGGGAGGGTTTCTCCACACGGGGTTTCTAGTAGTCAGGGAAGGCCTCTCGAGGTGACATCGGAACTAGTCTAGAAATGAGAAGCCAGGGAAGAGAAGTTCAGGTCTGCAGGGGCCTGTGGGGCAGGGCTGTGGAGGAGAGTCCAGGCCGCAAGAGGCAAGATGGCCCTTGGCGGCAAGACTCTGAAAGGAGCCCCACCAGGACTTGGCCGAGGGCTTGGGCTGCCCTAGAAGAGAAGCATGGTGGTGATCCATGGGCTGTGTGTTGTCCAGGGAGAGGCGACCCAGGCCAGAGCGACAGGAGTGATGGGCGCTGTCCGCGGTGCTGACCGGTGAGGGCAGGTGTTTGAAACAGGGCCGGTTAGGAGGGCAAGTGTGTGCAAGTGTGTGCAAGTGTGCGCGCGCGCGTGTGTCCCTATGGTACCCGGCTAGCTGGTGTGTCCCCATGCCGGTTACCAAGGAGACAGCGGGAAGACGGAGGGCGGGATTTGATTGGCTGTCCGCAGCGCTGCTCCTCTCTCCATCAGAATCGCAGGCCAGGTTACAAATGGCCCGGGCAGGCATGCCAAATGCCGGAGGATAAGGAGCGCTCGTGCCCCAAGGCGCCTGTGTGTACTTGCATGTGTGTGTGTGTGTGTGTGTGTGTGTGTGTGTGTCTGACAGAGCAGCATCTGGAGAGCTTCTGCCTCCCGTTGGGAAACATCTGCTGGGTCCCTCAAATCAGGCAGCAGGACCGGATATATTCAGGGAAGCAGCAGCCAGCCTTGGGAAAGGGCCTTTTGTTTGGCTTTAATAGCTTCAGTGTCAACACTAAGCCTATTCCAGATGTCTCCCTGCACCTCTAAAAATGCAAAGAAATCTTGGGGTGGCTCAGTGATTTCCTGTGGAGGTGCCTCTGCTCCACCTGCTGGGGAGGCTGGAGTAGATCATAGATTCCTTGGCTTCTCCTCTCCTGTAAAATAATAGGGTCGACTTTTCTTTGACTTTGTGGGTGACAGGACACAAATTCTAGTTTTGGTTAGAAAGGCAGCAGGGAAACAATGACCATCAAGGTGGTTCCTCTCCTCTGGCTTTCCACAGCAGCAGCCCAGGTCAGCTTGGAAAATAAAATTTACAAACACCCAGGTTCAGGACTGCACAAGATGCAGCATTCTGGTCTCTCCTCCTCTGCTCCTGCCTCCTCCCGCCTCCTCCCTTCCAGAGCTTGGCTGGTGATGCAGGTGGTGAGGAGGAGAACAAAGTCCCCCTCTGGGCCTGTGGCTCCATCCTGGGTGCCAGCATTAGTGTGAGGAGGTGCCTTCTCTGCCCACTTTCCTTGTCATCCCACTCAGAATATTTTCCCTGAAAAAATAGGGGAAAAAATCACCCCATGCCTTCTAGCCAGCCCCAGTTTACGTCCCCTGTTTGTGTGCATTTCACCCACTCACGCCTCTGGGCTCTTTCTCCATCTCCAGTGAGCCCCATGGCTACTTGTTGAGCTCCTCTGAGCCGCTCTTTCCTCCTCCCTGAGAGGTATTGCATGGGTCTAGAGGAAGACAGCAGGGAGGGAAAAGGGGTTTGAGAGGGGCCCTTAAGGAAATGGGGATGTTGAGGAGTGAGGTCAGATATAATCATCAGCAGCTGCCTTCCACCAAGGGCTGCTGTGGTCATGCTGGTCTAAGTGCTTTATAATCAATGACCCTAAGGTGTAGGGTTCTTAATTTTGCTTTTCAGAGGAGGAAATAAGGCAGGGAGGTTAAGTGACTCTCCTAAGGGCACACAGCAGCTGAGGAGCAAGCTGGGACCTGAACCCCAGAGATGGTGTTTTAACCACTGTGTGGTTCAATGGTGAGGCCTTGGGATGAGCTGCTCCATGCCCAAGCATGGCCTCTTCCCTCCTAGGGTCACTTGTGTGGGGGACACCAACCCTAGAATGCTTGCCCCTTCTGCCAGGACATCCACTGCCATTGGAGGGGACAGTGTTGCAGAGGGGCTCATGCCTGGCTTGTGACAGGTCTTCCTTGCCTCTGAAAGTAGCCTAAAAAATTAGTTGCTGGTCAGTTTTAAATGGGAGGGGAGATTTTCACATAAAAATATAGATTTACAACTTTTTTTTCCGAAGATCATGCAGCCCAGACATTTCTCTCTCTGCTCCAAGACTCTGCGGCATTTCCCTGCTGGTCCTTCTTACTCAGCCCCAGTAAAGGTCTTAGCAGGGCAGTGTCCCCTCAGCTTGGATGCCCTAGGCTGTGGGGATGTGTCCTGCTCCTCTGTAACCAGAGTGAGAAACTTAAAATTGCTCAGAGTTATTATGAATCAGTGTAAAGCACTGAATTAGAATCCCACCCACTACTCTAGGCAGTGTGGGCCTAAGGAGGAAATAAGAAGGCTGCCTCTTATTCCTTTCTCTCCCCAAAATCTGGTTTAATAGTAGTGTGTACCTCAGGGTTGTTTAAAAGGCATTAAGATTAAGGATCAGGCCCTGGTATGGTCAGAGTTAGCAGAGAGCACCTTTCTTTCTCTGGGTTCAAGAAAGAAAAAGCAAAAACAGCAAATGTTTTGTGTGACAGAAGAACCAACCACGAGGTTCAAAGGTGAGTCACAGACCAGGAGTCACAGTACAATAACATCTGTCACCAATAAAGGACAGTGTCTTAAGGACCTCCTGCAGATCAGACAGGAG